TCGGATCTATATAGATGTGCACTTTTGCCGAGGGTGAAATTAAGCTGCATTGCGTGTTTTTTTCGGGCGGCCCTCCAGAAGTATCCCCCTCCAGAATCCTTCGAGAGTCCTGGAAGGGCACCTGTATCGCCAAGATGATAAGGACAATGATGAAGATGATTGATAGCGGTGATGAGAATGATGATGTCGCTGATGATGCTGATGACAGTCTGTGATGCTGCTACTAATGATGTTGATGACCACGGTGGTAAAGCTGCTGCGGATACTGATGATCACGACAATGATGCCGCTGCGGATGATGAGATGATGCTGGGGATGATGACGAGAGCTGGAGACGACGATGCTGCTGACAATGATGATGGTGGTGGTGGTGGTAGTGAAGATGGTGGTGGTGGTGGTGATGATGGCGGTGACGATGGTGACGATTGTGCGATTGTGATTGTGAAGATGATGATGGCGGTGACGCGCCCCATCGCCAAGAGGGGGAGGCGGAGTCCCGCCGCGCAAGCCGGGGGTGTTCAAGAGGGTGGTTTGCAAATCATGGCTCGAAGCACGCGCGCGCCACAGGGGTAGGGGGCAGGGGACGTCTTGGAAGGAGGAGCAGAACCATAATCATACCTGCAGCCAAAAAGAAGCCGAATCACACAGCTACGAGCAGTGACCAACATGAGAGGAGGAGAAGGAAGGGGCCATGCCATTCGGGGGGACGTCGGGGGCCCCAGCCCTGCGATCCGCCCCCCCCTGCCTGGCCACCACCCTCTTGGCCGCCCCCGCAGGAGGGCTCCCGCCGCGCGCGGGCTGGGCAGCACAGTGCGGGAGCGGCCGCAAGACACCCTCGCAAGAAACCCAACCCTGAGGAGGAGGAGGAGGAGGAGGAGGAGGAGGAGGAGGAGGAGGAGGAGGCGGAGGAGGCGGAGGAGGAGGAGGAGGAGGAGGAGGCGGAGGAGGAGGAGGAGGAGGAGGAGGAGGAGGAGGAGGAAGTGCGCGAGGTGCACCTGAGGGGAAACCGAAACCTGGAGCACCCTGAACGCAGCAGCGCCTTCAACGGCCGCGGGAAGTCCACGCGCAGCGCGCGGAGCAAGGAAACCCAGGATGCCCTCACGACAAGTAGATGGTTTCTTGATGCGCGCCCCCACTGTAGGCAGGCTGGCTGGCGCCGCAACGCCCCTCCCCCGCACGCCCTCCCCAGGAGCCGGGTCGACGGCGCCGCGCGGGTTCCCTGCGCGGGGGGAGGGCGGCGGCGCGCTAGACCTTCGGGGTGGACGAAGAGTTTTAGGGTAGGAGGTCGTCCACAGACCTGGTGTACCCCAGAATTGTTTGCTTCGTCGGGTTTACGAAGGGGACGTAGCATGTTCCGTATATCAGCAGGGCACTCTGCGTTTTCCCCCCCAAAAAGGGGGTCCCCGGGTTCTCCTTCCTTCCTTCCTTCCTCCTCCCCCCTCCTCCCTCCTCCCGTCACCCCCCTCACTTTGGCACACTCCTCACACGCTTCGTGGCCCTATAGGAGCTCCGCTGAAGGTCCCAGTGGCGCAGTCCGCATGCATCCCCGCCACCCATTTCGGCACACCTCTCACACGGTTCGGGGCCTGATAGGAGCTCCGCTGAAGGCCCCAGTGGCATAGTTCGCATGCGTCCCCGCCATTCATTTCGGCACACCTCTCACACGTTTCGTGGCCCCATAGGAGCTCGCAGAAGGCCCCAATGGCACAATTCGCAAGCGTCCACGGCACCCATGTCGGCACACCCCTCACACGGTTCGTGGCCCCATAAGAGGTCCGCCGAAGGCCCCAATGGCACAGTTCGCATGCGCCCCCGCCGCCCATTTCGGCACACCCCTGACCCGTTTTATGACCCCATAGGAGGTCCGCCGAAGGCCCCAGTGGCACAGGTCGCATGCGCCCCCGCCGCCCATTTCGTCACCCCTCACGCGCTTCGCGGCCCCATAGTAGCTCCGCCGAATGTCCCACTGGCGCAGTTCGCACGCGTACCCGCCACCCATTTCGGCACACCCCTCACACGTTTCGTGGCCCCACAGGGAGCTCCACCGAAGGCCCCAATGGCAAACTTACATGTGTCCACGCCACCCATTTCGGCACACCCCTCACACGGTTCGTGGCTCCATAGGGCGCTCCACCGAAGGTCCCAATGGCACAGCTTACATGCGTTCCCGCCGCCCATTTCGGCACACCCCTCTCGCGGTTCGCGGCCCCATAGGGGGTTCCACCGAAGGCCCCAGGGTGTGTGGCCACATGCGTCCCCGCCACCCAATGTCGGCACACCCCTCTCACGGTTCGTGGCCCCATGGGGAGCCCCGCCGACGGCCAACAGGGGGTGCGTCCACATGCGTCCCAAGAACTCATGTCGGCACACCCTTCACGCGGTTCGTGGCCCCATGGGGAGCTCCACCGAAGGCCCCAAGGGGTGCGTCCACATGCGTCCCAGGCCCTCGTTTCGGCACACCGCTCACATGGTTCGTCTCATCTCCCTCGCGGAACTCGCAGCTGCATATGGTTGGGTCCTTCGCCAGGCGAGTTGTGTCGTAGACTCGACGAACAAACCAATTTTGAGGGTCAATCAATTCTGTAGTCGGTCTCCCACACGAAAGGTGCGGGGTGAGCAGGAAGCTGGAAGCACACAAGGCTGGATGCACACGTGGAGCGCCTTGAGGTCACGCGCTGGATGCACATGTGGAGGGCAAGCGTGCACAGAAAGGCCGAGCGCTGGAAAAACATCCGGCCACACGTGCACGTGTCCAGCTCTCGCCCAAGCCGGCCGCGTCATGTGTATCCAGCTTGTTGGTGGCGGGGGAGGGGTCAGGGAAAAACCATACTTACGGCCGGGAGCCTCTGCTCAGCGCGTCGTGCCGACGGCCACCTGGACGCGCCGTGCCCCGCGGGCGGCTGGAGCGTCGCTCCGCTCCGCGTGGCAGGAGGCAGAGGAGGGCTCGGGACGCTAACGCCTGGGAATCGGGACGTGGATGGCATGTCTCGCCGAAGCGTGGTGGGCCAGAACCGCCAGAGCGACAGGCTGAGCAGAAGTTCCCGAGTGCAGTAATTAGATGGGGGGGTCCAGGAAACCAGCTACGCGCGAGCAGAACTTCTCGACGCCGGCTCTGCTCGCAGAGGCGAGGGCTGGTCTGAAGGGGCCCCTGATCTGGCCCCACATCGGTGCGTTCCCCCAAAACGGCGACCACGGCATCTCTAAGCCGATTGAACTCGGCAAGAACTTCGGCCAACGCACACACACACACACACACACGAGCGACGAAACATAATGGGTCTTGCGCAAGATGGCATAGCGATCTTAGCCGCCAGCGCGGTACGCTACATTGGAAGCGAAGGGATTTACAGCGCGACCTTACGCAAACAACTTGCGCGCGAATGTCCGTGCAACCGAACCCTTTTTTTGCGCCGCTAACGTGCAGCTGGTTTAAGCTGTTCCTCTTGGCACCGAGGGCGGCCAAGTATCGAGGGCCTGCCCGGCGGCGGCGCCGAAGCCAGCGGCGCGCTGCAGCTTTCGCACCGTCCCCTTCTCCTCCACAGTTGCAAGGTGAGGCCCTCAGAGATGGCGCCCTGAGTGCGAGGAGCCTCGAACACTGGAAACTCAACCTGGGACCCCTTCCAAGCCAACGCCGTGTCGCTCCGCCCCGCGGGGCGGGAGGCTGGGAAAGGCTCGAAACGCTGGCGCCCGTGGACTGCGACGTGTGTGGCGTGTCGCGCCGAAGTGTGGTGGGCCAGAGCCCGCGGCGCGATACGCGCGAAGCCATGGCTCCCGACCGCTCCCCAGGAGGAGGAGGAGGAGGAGGAGGAGGAGGAGGAGGAGGAGGAGGAGGAGGAGGAGGAGGAGGACCTCCCCGCACTCCGGTTCGTCCACCCCGACGCTCGCGAGGCGCACGGTGGCCGCTGCAAGCCAGCAGCCCCGCGGAAGCGCGTGGCGCCTCCGGACCTGCCCCGCTCGCTAGCTCTGGCGCGCCTCACGGCAGGGGCGGGAGGGGCCGCAGGGGCAATCACTGGAGGCACGTTCCCGCAGGTCGTGCGCTGCACTCTCTTCCTGGCGCCCCGCGGTGCCCCAAGCAACTGCCCTCTGTGGACGGAGCTGCTTTTCCATCTGGGACGCTGGCCGAGCTTTCTGGGGGAATGGGGGAAGAAGTTCCCATTCCCCTCCTCCTCCCCCTCCTCCTCCTCCTCCTCCTCCTCCTCCTCCTCATTCTCCTCCTCCTCCTCCTCCTCCTCCTCCTCCTCCTCCTCCTCCCCCTCCTCCTCCTCCTCCTCCTCCTCCTCCTCCTCATTCTCCTCCTCCTCTCCCTCTTCCTCCTCCTCTTTCTCCCCATCCTCAAACTCTGGGAATGCTCTTGGGCGTGTCTGGGTGCTCTTGGCCTGCTCAGGGCCACCGGAGGCGCCCCGAGGGACTCTGGCGCGAACCTCTGGGGAACTCCGGGAACCTCTTTCGGGGATGGACAGGCCTCCCTTTAGTAAAACGTGGTTTAGTGAAAACAACCCGAGGCCCAAACCTGGCGGGCCGCGGCCCCCTCCCGAGAACCGACAAAGGATAATTCACTTATCGACGCCTCACTGTTGGGGGTTCTGTCCACCCCCGACTCTTGGAGACTCCTGGGAAACTCTTGGAGACTCTTGGAGACTCCTGGGAGACTCTTGGCGACTCCTGGGAGAAACATCGCGCCAGAAACACATCGCCGCTCTCGGCGTCCGGCACGCCGTCCCCGGGCCCCACACGGCCGTCAGCAGAAGCACGCCTCGGCGCACGATGGCAAACGCCGCTCTCTCGGGGCAGGGGTCGATCGAGCCCCAGGGACCAGCAGCTCGCCACCGTCCGGTGGTCGGCGTGGGTGCGCACGCCACCGGCAGCCTTGGCCAGGCATCGAGTAGGGGATCGACTACAGAACCGATTTACCCCAGAATTGATTCTCCTCGTCGCATCCACGGAGCAGTTGTGGAACTTTCGCAAATCTACGAATCTTCTACGTGAGTTTCTTTGAGATTCGACGTGGAAGTCAATTTTGGGGTGAATCAATTCCGTAGTCGATCTCCTACTCGAACGCAGTCTGCGGCCCTCACCTGGTGCCTGGGTCCTCCAGGCGCGAGCCACGACGGCCTGTGCACCAGCCCTGGGCCCAGGGCGGGCCTGGCCAGGACTGAAGGCGTAAGTTGCCGAGTTCCGACCTCTGGAGCCTTCCCTGCCCCCGCCGCGCTCCTCCGGCCCCAGATGCGGGGCGCGGGCCCGCGCTCACAGCTTGATTCCAGCCTTTTTGTCCTTCCCGTCGGCCCCGGCCTTCGAGGCCTTGGCTCCCGACGTGTTGGTGATGGTCTTCGCCCGGGTGGCGTACTTCAGTGACATCACGGTCTCGTCCAGATTGGAGCTAGCTGGGGAACAGTTCACGAACATGAGCGTCTTGGCGGTGCCGCCGAGAGAGTCCTGCATCAGCTGCGTCAACTTGTGGTTTCTGTATGCGATCACCTTCTGATTCTTAGTGAGGCCCTCGATGACGTCGCCGAGTGCCGTCAGAGATTTGTTGATCTCGATCGCCTCCTGCTGGGCATCGCCCTCCACCCCTGACCTCTTCAGCCTCTCTGAGCCTGCCAGGTCGACCAAGAGAATCTTACCCTGCAATTGCTCCTTGGTCTCCCTGTTGACGCTCACCACCTTGATGATGAGGACCAAATGCGAACGTGAGCTCTCGCTGTTCATCTCCGTGGCAGCCACGGTGCGCTGATCATTGCCCCTCTGCAGGAGCCTGGACAGTTCATCGGCGGTCTCGCAGGTCTCCTCAGTCAGGTTTTCAACCATCACTGCGCCTGCCTTGTCGGTCTTGACGACGAGCTTGCCCTTCGAGGCCGCTGGGTTGCCCTTGCTTAGAAGATCCACCAGATCGTTCCTGTAGAGCTCCAGCATGGAACACATAACCGTAAAATTGCAACGACTCTTCCCTTCTTCCATCACTCGGTAGAGCTCCTGGATCGTCCGGGGGGCAACGCCCTCTTCCTCTTTAGTGCCATGCATGGTGAAGGTCTTACCGGCGCCTGTCTGGCCGTAGGCGAAGAGGGTCACGTTGTAGCCATCGACGGCCGACTGCACCAAGTCTTTGCAATCTTCGAAGACCTCGACTTGAGTGCCGGGCAAGAACACGGCATCGAAGGTGTACTTTGTGCTACCAGCAGACTCGGACTCGATGGACAAGTTCATGGAGTCGACACCCTTAGTGACCTTGGTGTCGCCCGCCTCCTTCTCCTTCTTGCTCAGCGGCCTAACGCGGCAGAACACGCGGATGGAACCCTTGAGGTCCTCGATGGTGTTATGCAACTTCTTCCGTCTGCTCTCCGCGTCCTTCAGGTCCGACTCGGCGACGCCAGCTGCGAGCGCGCCTGTAATCGCCGTCGCGAGCTTCTCCTTCGCCTCCCTCATGGAATCGATGTCGGCCATATCGGCCTTCTTGGCGTCGTGGAGCGCTTCCTTGACAGACTTGAGCAACTTCGCCTTTTCCTTCTCTCGCTTGAGCAGCGTGTTCGCCTCCCTGTACTCGTCCTTCGGAAGCGGTGCCTCCTTCGCCGCGATCACGGCCTCCTCCAGCGCTTCGACGGTGCCCTTGTCAAGGGCGTCCTTGATCAGCTCACGGGCCTCTGCCTTGGGCAGCTCCTCCTTGAGCACAGCCTTGGCCTCCTTGATGACATCCTTTTCAACTCCAGCCTCCTTGGCCTGCTGAATTGCGAATTTCAGCTTCTTCACGTCCTTGTCCTTTGCGGCGCTCTTGAGCATCTCCTCGGCCTTCTCCTTCGACTGGGTGGCGTTCAAAAGCTCCCTGAACTTGTCCAATTCCTCCGTGGGCAAGCCCACTTTTTCCCCTTTTGAAAGGGCGGCCTTCAACGCCTCCGCGTCACCAGCTTCCTCCGCGGCCGACAACCGATCGCGGGCCTTCTGCCTCGGCTTCTCGACCTCAAGGACCTTCCTCGCCTCCTCGATCCTGGAAGAATCCGCCGATGCCCGCTGGTGGGATGTCACAAGGAGTTTGATATGCCTTGCAGTTCCCCTAAACATGGCCCCCCTTCCAGGGGCCCCACATCCAGTGAGAAGGGGGGGTCTCCCCACGAGCTTCTCAACGATTCTTCTGGGAACTCAGAGCGCTCCGGACCAGACAAGCCCGAGTGTTCTGTCAAACGCATGTCCAAGCCATACCTTCCAACAAGACAGGCCCAAGATGACCCCCGCAGGCTTTGTCTAGACTCACACGCGAAGCCAGGAATCGTAGGCGCAAGCTCGAGAACGCATGCTGATAGCAGACGAACTCATAACTCAACAACGCAACGCACATAACAACAATTAACATGCTCAAACGTGACTTTCACAATTATGCGGATGATTTTCCGCCAGCGGTACAGATGGACACGTGACAAAGCGCAACCAGCAATCGAAACAGAACTGCAGCGCAAAAAAAATGCAATGCAAACAAAAGTGTTTCAAGTCATGGTGGTCGGCGCTTTGGGCACCACACGCACTCCCTGAACCTCTTCAAACGAAGCCAGAAATACTAAGCTCATGTTCAAACAAGGATGTGCGGAGCAAAAACGAACTGCTGCGCAGAACAACAACTTGCAGCGCACAAGAGAGCTGCAATGCTAAACAACTGCCTTTCTGGTTATGCCGGTTGACGATGTGGGCGCCGCACCCTTCCCTAATCTCATCAAACCTCTCCCGACTCACGTGCGATGCCTGGGATCCTGAGCTGAAGCTCAAGCACGGATCCCTAAGCTGGCGCAACACTCTTACTTTGCGAAGCGTCGTGCCTACAGCTAAATGTGCTTGCGTTTGAGACTTGGTCTCCCGCTGTGCGCTACACAGCTAAGACCCTTGCCCCGCACCGTTGACAGTGCCAACACGAAGTATCAACATTGGCAATTCAAGATTCGTGCTATCACCGCCCCTCACCTTCATTACTCCTGCTACGGCGATCGTTCGCCTCCACATTGCCCTCCTCCTGATCGGGGAGACGTAAGACTCGGGTACAGGGGACTCGGGTTGGCCCGACGGGGCCATCATAAAAATGACGACGAGGCCCAATCTGAAAGTTGACGCGAGCTCCCGCTGCAGACATCCCACGAAAACTGGACCGTCAAAATCCAGGACGCGCTCGTCAACAAAAACGTCGGCAAACCCGAGTTCCCGCTTACTCGGGTCTTGCGTTCCCCCGACCTGAGCGGGCCCCTCTGAAGAGGACCCGAGATACCACAACACACCCAGAAGAGGTCAGCAACAAGCCCCCACGAGAAGACCCGACACCGAGGAAATGGTCACAAGGGCTCCCCGACCTCCTGCCCGCTCTCCTGAAGAGGCCCAAGGACGCACAAATAAACACACACAAATAAAAGTATTCCCCATATTTTCCCTTATTTTCTGGGTTTTTGTCTTCCCCCCGCTTCCCATATTTTCCTATATTTTCTGGGGAATCCAAGATTAATTGTGTCGGTGTGTGTGTGTGTTTTTTTCTTCCCTACTGATCTCCTCCATCCCCTGGCTTCCCCTGCCACTCCCGGGAGCCACATCGCTCTTCGCCGCCCTCCTTCGCTTCACTCTGATCGGGCAGCCCTTGCATCCCAAATCACAGTCGCCCCGTCTACCTTTAGGTCGGGCATGCCCCCCCCTACCGGCGGATTTTGGGCGAGAACCGCCAAATAGAGAAACAATGCCCAAACATAGTCGAACAAGCGTCCCCAGACTATTTTTGACTGTTTTTGAAAATTCCTCCTGTATAGGGGCACGCCCGACTTACGTTTACCTTTCCGAAGTTGGCGGAATTGCGCAAGCCTCTTGCATCGACCTGGCACTTCTCTGCCTCGGCGAGGGCCTTCTCGATCTTGGCGACGTCCTTGGCAGCCACCGCCTTGGACAGCTTTCCAGCAGCTTTGATGCGCGCCTCCAAGTCTTCCAACCGCCTCTCCGCAGCCTTCATCTCGTTCGCCGAGTCGTCTACGCCGGCAGCCTTGGCCAACTTGACGGCGGCCTCGAGCTCGCTCTTCGGGGCGGCCCCGTCCAACAGAGCCTGCAGCTTGCCCAAGGCAACCGCCTTCGGGTCCTGCTCCTCCTCGTCCGCCTCGCCCTCGTCCTCGGCCGCCACCGTGACCTCCCGTGCCTCCTCGTGCGCCTCGATGGCCTCCACCATGCCCGCCGGCACGGGCTGAGGCGCCGCCGCTTCGGCGGAGTCGCCACTGGGGCCCGTGGGCGGCCCGTTCTCCTTCTCGGCAGCAGCTTTGGAGGCGGCCTCCAGGGCCTTCTTGCTCTGCTTGCCGCCCGCGTTCGTGAGCAGCTTTTTCAACGATTCGTTATCGAAGTTCGTGGCGTAGTCCATCGGGGTCAGCCCCTCGAAGTCCGCTACATTGACATTCGCCTTCGTCTCGAGCAACATCTGCGCGATGTCTTCCGCGCCGTTGGCCACGGCGAACATCAACGGTGTGCATCCGTTGTGGTCGCGAGCCTCCAGGGAGCAATTGTGCGAGAGCAACAACCTGATGATCCCGGTCTGAGCCGTCTTGGGCGACCTCTTCGCTCGCGTGGAGGCGTGGTGCAACGCTGTCTTGTTGGTGTTGTCTGCCGCGTTCACGTCGACGCGCTTCTTGTGACTCAGCAGGTACTCGACGATGTCTCTGTGCCCGCACGCAGACGCAAACATCAGCGCGGACTTGCCCCGCGCGTCTGTGACGTTCACATCAGGCTTGTAACTGGACATGAATCCGCCGTCGTAAATCTTTTTCATTCCCTGCAGGTCCCCAGTCGCGGCAGCTGTCAGGACGCCCTTGATCTTGAGATACTTGGGTTCGAACTCAATTTCGACGTCCTTTCTATGAGCCTCAATCGGGCCAAGGGTTCGGTCGCCGTGTCTGGAGAGGAGCGATATCCAACCATCGACTCCAGTAGCTGCAGCGCTTCCCTTTGCATGAACCTTGGCTCTAGTGTTGTCCACGCCAACGGCCAAAATGGTGACGTGCGTGCCAGGCCTTATGATAGCCTTCACTTCGCTTTCCCGGCTCTCGGTCGTCTTTACCATGAGTGGTTTGATCACCTGGTGCTGCCCGTCTACCTTGAACTCGGCCAAGACAAACTGGAAATCCTTGCTGCGCTTGATGATCCGCAACTGTGCTTTGGCAGTTGTGGGCGTGTGCCAAGACCAATGGTGACATTTATAAATCTCTATATATACACACATGTATGCTTTCGCATGCGTACCATTCCAACACATGAGCTGCAACACTAATTGTGACCCCAATGTGGCAACTTATGTGTTTCGCAACTTATGTGCCACTTGTCCGCGCAAGGCCACTGATATGCCACAACGAGGCCCCCGAGACGGCCCCAAGAGGCACCGAGAGACCAGCAACGCAACAACGGTGCAGCACTGCAACCGTGCTGCACCGCAACACTGCCTGGCTGCTTCTCCGCGCGACCGGCGGGCATGCGCGCGGGAGCGTGGTTGGATGAGAGGCTCGTTCAACTGCGTTCTGCAGCTGATCCAACCTTTCTGGCTCCCCGATTTGTTCGTTATCTTCAACCTCTTGTGCTCCGCGACCTCTAAGATCCAGAGGGTGATACCTGAGAGTAGAACGTGAACACAACCGACGTGAACTTACACTTTCGGAGGTCCATGCGGATTTCTTAAGTCGGCGTTGGACTCCCGTCCCCTGGCAAGCGCAGCGCGCCAGCTGCGGCGCCGGAGGCGTCGCTAGTGTGGGTCCAGCGCCGACCCAATAAATCTGAGCGGCCCTCCGACAGTCTTTGGGGCCTTCGAGAGGAAGAGGATTCGGAGGTGGAGGAAGATGTGAAGGAGGAGGTGTCGGTGGAGGAGGTGAAGGACGCCTGGCATAATCTCGCCCACCACCTCGCTAGTGAGGTCTTCATCGGCGCGTGCTGTCACGCGCGCTATCGTCTCGCACGTGTCCCCTGGCCTCCAGACATCGGCGTCGCTCTTGCCGAGGCCCGTCAGCTTCTTCCTGAAGGCCGAGGAGGCCGATGAGAACCTCGAGACAATGCTGCCGACCGAAGACTTTGAACCAGTGCTGCCAGTGCTCTGCTTTTCCCACTTGTCCGAATCGGATGTGGAGGCCGTCGACCTGCTGTTTTTGTCGCCCGCCGACGACGAGGACGGCATGCTCCCCTTGAGAGCTAGTGTCTGGGCAAAAATCTGGCTGCCTTGAGCCAAACTTGATATGGAGGTGGGTGCGGAGGAGGACCAGGACGAGCAGAGCAGCAATAGCCACAGCAGCTGACTGACATTGACGGAGTATGACAAGGCACGCGGGATAATGAAAATATGAATTCCCCCAAAACAATGCTTGCACCATTGCTCCGAGGAGCTGGGCCGTGTCTTCGGTCTGGCGGCTCTGTGGCCGCCGTCGCCGCCCCGTCGCCGCCTCGTCGCCGCCCGCCGTCTGGGCCTGCCTGTCGGTCGTCGCGATCGTTGCCGCCGTCGACGCCCCGTCGCCGCCTCGTCGCCGCCCGTCGTCTGGGCCCGTCTGTCGGCCGCCGCGTGTTTTGCCGCCGTGGCCGCCCCGTCGCAGCCCACATAGACTGCGCAACATGCAGTTGCACAACATAGATTGCACAACGTAGGTTTCACCACGGATAGTGCACGCCGCATAGATGTCACACCATCGATTGCAGCATATTGATTGCACCACAATTTGCGCCACATAGGTTGCACCACGTAGGGTGCATACCATATGTTGCACAGCATAGATTGCGCATCAGAGGTCCACATCTATTGCACAAGCTGTTGTGTGCCTCGCAGGTTGCCTCATGTGTATTTCGCAGCATAGATTGCACAACCTAGAATAAGCTACATATATTGCTCTACCTAGATTGCGCATGCCGTATTTCGCCATGTATGTTGCACCACATAAATTGCACAACGCGTATTGCACAACACATATTGCACCACAACGGTTGCTTCACATCGGTTCTGCTTTCTTAAGCTCTTGAGCAAGAGTATAGCCCCCCGGGTTATCAATTCTGCTGTGCGCATTGCAATGTGCATCTGGCTCTGCCACATCACCCATCGTAAATATGAATTCGTGCAATCCCAGCCAAGCCAGTACCGCCCCCCCGCCATCCTTTGCAACAAAAGCACTATGCGCGCGCACTCGTTTATCACACATCAACAGTTTAAACATATACTTGGCAAGCGACGGACGCAGTGCACACGCGCGCGTTGTCGCGCGCTTGCCGCAATCCTTTGAACACCTTCGTTTTCGTAAGGCTTTCAAAATCGAGCGTCCAAGCAACGTATAAAAAGACAGGGTTTCGCAACACTGGTTTTCAACAAAACTTGCGCGCGCGCTCTTGCAAACTCTTAAGCAAATGCTGCCAAGCGGGCTTCGCGTGCGCATGTCGAAAACGTTCGAACGCCCTTGCGCGCGTGAGGTCGCGAGAATCCTTCGCAACAGTTGGGACGAAGTGCAAGCGCACGCGTCGTCGCGCACGCATGCCAAGAATCCGTCAACAAAAATTCGGTTCCGTAGCGATTTCAAAACAGAGTGTCAAAACACCACTAAAACACACATGAACTCGCAACAGCAATTTAAACAAAAAAACGTGTGTGCTCGCGCTCATCGGTTCTTCTACATTTATGCTGGCAGTCCGGCCTCTGGCGCCGCATGTCGAAATCACTCGCACGCACTTGCGCGCGTGCTGCGGGGGCACGATCCCGTTCAAATGGTACAATGCAGGCCACTCGCGCGCGTCGGCCGCGCGCGCATGTCGAACTTCTTCCAAAACCTTCATCGCCGACGCGAGGACGCCGTCATCGTCGTCGGCGTGATCAGCATCGGCGCCCGCACTGGCCGCGCCATCGTCGTTGCCAACATCGTCACCAGCATCTTTACTATCATCATCGTGTCTACCGTTGTCGACGTTGCCATGAAACCGTGCCCGCGCAAGTCGCCGACTCGAACTGAAGTGCCCGGTGGGATGTGCCCAACGGTCAGCGCCACCGCGGCCGCGTCGGTCGCGCCAAACTACATCCCCAGGCCGAAAGTTTTCTCCTCTTGGACTACAGCTATGAGAACACCAATGGATCCAATTGGACCCCTTTTCGGGTGCGGGAGAGTTTCGTGGATCCTATTTCTGTGTTGCGCGGATCCAATTTCCTGTGTGAAAAAACGATGGATACATTTATTTCCCAGGAATAAATATATCATAAGAGTTCACATCCGGGACCCAGGGGAAATGGGATCCGCGGAGCACCGCAAGTGAAGCATCATGCTATTCACGGAGCTGTGGATCTGCAGACCAATGCTATGATTCTACGGGGGAGGGGGGCCTTCCCAGGATGAAAGGGGGAAGGATGAGGAAAGAGGCAAGAGGAGGTGGGAGGAGAACAGAAAGGATCGGCGCGTCGCTTCCGACATGTGGGGCTCAACAGGAAAATCTTTCGGCCTGCGTAAGTAGCTGGCCGTTGCGCGCGCTTCCTTGGGTTGGCGCGGCCGCAGATATGCACCAGCCAACGCCAAACACTCATCGCAATCGCTGCCGCATGGGTTTTGCAAACCAAGTTGCGGGTGGGTGGGTGGGATGTTTGCGAGAGCATGGAATGTGTCAACTCGTTTGTAAAATCAATTGCGCCACATAGATGCCACCACGTTGAGTGCACAACATAGATTGCAATCTTATGTTGCACAACATCGATTGCATCACATCTATTGCACCACAGATGTTGCTGTACAGGGATTGCACAACATTGAATGTACCTGATAGGTCGCACCAATTGTGGTGCACATCGCATGTTGCACCACATCTATTGCACAACAAAGATGGTACCACGTATATGGCACATATGAATACATTGCACAATATAGACTGCAAGTAACATCCTGTTAGGGGTCCACGCTGGCTAACCTGTATACTTTGCGCAAAGACGGACATTACATATAACATGTAAGGACGGACGGGCCGCTCCAGAAACCCTGAATCCAATGCATTAGCGACTCTTCGGGACCCACCTCTTGCTTCCGCTGGCGTGTCCCCCCCTGCCGTTTTGCTTATGCTGGCTTCCACCGGTCTCCCGCCGAAGAAGAGACGCCGGCTTCTCGATCCCTTAAGCGCATCTGGAGGTGCTCAGAACTACAGAGAGATCAAATCTGATGCTGCCCAATGGGCGACCCCAAACAAAGAAGCACGCGCGCCGAGCGGCGTGGAACCCTCGAGGAGGAGCCGGGCCGTGTCGGCGAAAGGCAGCGAGGACAAGGAAGCACGAAGGAAGACAACTGGCGAGGTGGTCAGCGATGATGCCAGCGCGTGGGCCCCCCGGACGCCCAATCCGTGCCGCAAAATCTTATGGTGAACTTGCAAGGTGCGGCCTCCTCCTCCTCCTCCCCCTCCTCCTCCTCCTCCTCCTCCTCCTCCTCCTCCTCCTGTGTGGTGCAGCAGGTGTGGTGCAGCGTATGAGGTGCCAGACGTGGGGCTCAGTCGAGGCAGAGGAGCGCTGCATGGGGTGCAGCGCATATGGGGCGACAACAACTGGAGCGCATCTTCTGGGTTGCAGCTGGTGTGGTGCATCATGCGAGTGGCGTCCTTTGGGGCCCCATGGGTGGAGCAAGCCTGTGGGTGGGACCCTTTCAATCGGGGGAAAACAAACCTACCTCGCTTTTGACCACCCTCGCTTCCAAGAGATACCAAACGATGCCACATTGCAGCCTGCACTGGCCAGGCCGCTTGACGAGGAGGCGCGTGGTATGGCTTGGTTTTGCCTGGAAGCGAACGCGGGGTAGGCAATTCACGCTCTGATTCAATGGAAACCCGTGGGCGTGGCCCGTACTTTTCCCCCCGCGCGCGGGCTCGGCATGCCGCGCCCCGCCAGCCCCGGCCTCTCGCCCGCGCGCTCGCCTGCGCCCGTGTGCCCCCATCCACTCCTTCTCTCCGTGCCCCTCGCGGGGCAGCGCCGCCCGCCTGGAACCGACGACTCGGGCGACCCGTCAGCACCGAGGCCGGAGGAGCCGACCCCCATCCCCCACTGGCATGGCCCTGGTCATCGCTCGGACGTCCATTTCTTGTGCTTTTTCCAGTTTCGTGCGTGGTTTTTTCGCCAAGTGATCAAGGATGCTCCTCGGTGGTCCTCGCCGAAGGAAACATGCACACTTCCGAGCGATGCCAAGGGCCTTGGGTCCCCCTGGCCGACTTACTCCGTGAGGCGGGGATGCGACGTTTCCCGTCGGAATTCGTGGGCCCATCCCCACGTCGTTGGGGGTGGTCTGGTGTGGATGAGATAGATTTAAACATAGTTTTCCAGCCCGCGGCCGGTTTTTTCTAATCGTCATCCCGGGCGCCGCCGCGTGAACACGATCCCCGGTCATTTGTTAATCGTCATCCTCCATTACCATGGCTCAGTGGGGATGGGGCTCGCTTGTGCGATGCTGAACGGCAGGAGGAGGATGACTCGCATGCCGTCTGTTCGGGCGCGCTTGGAGTCGCTCCCGCGGGCGGTCCGAGAGGGAGGGGCCCACGCGGGGAGCGGAGCGGAGGAACGCCCGCACCAAGTCGCTCAGAAGGCCCGCCTCGGGGTGGAAACTCGGCCCGTGTTCGAGGCGGAGAGGGGTGTACCCAGACCTTCGACGTCAGGATTCAGTGCTGGCTGTTTCCTCAGCTTCGGCCTCTGGAGACCCGCTGGGGCACGAAGCAATGTCAGAAAACGACTCGGGATGAGAAGCCAGCCTCAGGGAAGTTGCCGAGAGCTCATGGGAGCCCGTAGTGAAAAACGCACGACGCCAGAGGTCTGAGAATGGAGCGCCCCGCGCGTCAGACGATATCCGCGCGCGCTGGAACAGTGCAAAAGAGCAGGCCCGAACGCGTGCCGCAGTGCGCTTCCCGACACATCGTTTACCACGCTCTGCCTTCTGCAGCCGCGTTTTGCTCCTGGCTTTGCGGTGCCATCCCTCGCTCTCGTTCGCTTCCGGAGTGGCCCACGGAGGAACAAGATCGCGGTTTTGGAAACCCAGCATTTCCCTGGAGAGGCAGAGACGTTGGCGGCGCCCACGAGGGGGCGGCGCGAGGCGGGTGGGCTTCTCAGAGGGCGTGGGGCCCATGTCAAGGGGCCCAAAGACACACAAATAAATACACACAAATCACAAGATCCCCCATTTTCCCCCATATTGCTCGGTTTTTGTCCCCCCCCCACTGCCCATGTTTTCCCATATTTTCCTGGGGGTCGACGATTCATTGTGTCTGTGTGTCTCTTTCCCTCCTAACCATGGCCGCCCCCCTCGCACCACCCGCTTCTGGGCGCTGCCGCGCAGGAACGATGTGCCGCCGTGCGCGGCCCGCCGAGGATCGGGGATGGACAGACCCCCCATTAATAAAACGTGGTTTAGTGAAAACGACCGGAGGCCCAAACCTGGCGGGCGCAAGCCTGGAAGATAGCGGCCACGGCGCCCTCTCGAGAGCCAAAAACGGACAATTCACTGATCGACGTGTCACTGTTGTGGGGTTTCTGTCCACCCCCGAGAGGGGCCGCGGCGGGGAGCCGCTCTGGCTCGGGGGCCTGACCGCGCTCCGGGGAGCGCGGGGGGGGGGGGCGGGCGCAGCTCGGCGGCCGGCCCTCCCCCCTACTTCGCGGCGCGGGAGCACTTGAGGTCCGTGGGGAAGTACCCCCCGGTCTTCAGGACCTGGAACTTGGACGCCCGACATGGGTACCGAAAAAAGGGGTGCAGTGCCCAACAGCAGATGTTGTCCCAAACCAACAGCGGCCGCTGTTGGGAAGGCGGCCTCCTGTCTCAAATGGGCACAGGCCGCGGCGGCGCGGACACCGAGTCCTGTTCAAAATGGACAAGAACTGCTGTTGGGCATTGTACCCATTCTCTCCGTGCCCGTCTCGGGCGTCCAGATGGGAGACTGGGACACAGCGTGAGTGGAGCAGGGGCCGACCGTCCTGGCATCCCTAGAGTCCTACCACGACCTGTTCTTAGAACCCAGCAGTGGTCTAAACACAAAGAAGCAATGTTCTCAGAGCAGAAGCCCGATGTGAGAAAGCAAGACAGGCTCCGCCAGACATGTTCTGAGAACGTTTCGTGAAACCACAAAACGGTTCTTAGAACATTATTTGGTAGGCTTATGTCGGGCGTGTCCCCCTACAGGGGGATTTTCGACGAAAAATTAAACATACCCCAAAAATACCCCAAGAAGGTAAAAAATAATCAAAAAGTAGTCCCCAGACTATTTTTGGATGACTTTTTGATTATTTTTGGGGTATGTTTTATTCTTCGTCGAAAATCCCCCTGTAGGGGGACAGGCCCGACTTAATGGTAGGCCTATAGGCGAGCCAGGACGCTTCGCCACTGCTCGAGCGAGCAGACGCTTTTGGTGCTCCGCGCGGGCTCCTTGGGTCGGCGCTGGGCCCCTCCCTCCCCGGCACCCGGGGAGCGCCCAGGGACGGCGCCGGAGGCGCCGCCAGGACGGGCGTCCAGCGCTGGCCCGAGGGTGAAGGGGCCCCAGGACACACAAATAAATACACACAACTAAGAATATTCCCCATATTTTCCCATATTGTCTGGGTTTCCGGCTTCCCCCCCACTTCCCATATTTTCCCACATTTTCCTGGGAGTCGACGATTGATTGTGTCTGTGTGTTTCTTTCCCTCCTGAAAGGAATGCACCCGAGCCTGCGAAAGTTACGAGCACTCCACGTCGCGATGACGTCGGCATCGGCTTCTGCCACCGCGCGGGCCCTGCAGCCTGGAATGTTCGCGGCTTTCCGGTGGCGCAGGTCGCTCGCTGTCGGCCGGTTCCCGGCCACCGGCGGCGTTCAACCTGGAGCGCACTCGCCGGGGTCGCCGCCGCATCCACGCGGCGCGAACCTGCCGTATGGTTGTGCCGTGTCTGTCCCTCGCGGGCCTGCTCCCGCGTCTGCGAGTCTGCGCGGTCCACGACGAGCGTCTTCGCGAGCTCCGCCTGCAGCATGGCCTGGTGCGCCTCCGGCACCCCCTGCTTCGTCCACATCGCCGCGGCCTCGGACGCCTGCGGCAGCGGCGGCACCGTCTTCGCGAAGTACTTCGCGACCACCTGTGGCGGTGTGCGCGAGGTGGCGCGAGGGAGGCGGCCTTCCACGACGGCGGGGGGGTCCTCGGAGAAGGCGGGGCCTCACTGGAGGGGCCCATAGGCTTCCCAGAAGCCTCTCGCATTCTCAGAAGCCCCCCGCCTTCTCGGATGGCCCTGCCCCTCGCGCCACCCCCTTGGCGCGCGCCGCCGACACCTTCTTGCGAATGCCCTCGGGCGGCATGGCAAGTGCCGTCCACGTCTCCTGCAGCGCCTGCTTGGTGACGGCGCCGGTAGTGTTCAGGAACGCAAACATCTCGTCCTTCGGGGCAGCACCGTTTCGCGTCTTTCTCGTCCTCCCCCCCTCCTCTCCTGCCCCGTCTCCACGGGGCAGGGGGGGGTGGGGGCAGTCCCACCATCTGTTTTACTCCGGTTGCCCTGCCACCTGGAGCTCGAAGCAGCGGCCGCCCTGCTGCACGGGGCCCCAGAAGTGGCCTGCCTCCTCGGAAGCGCCCACGGGCGGGGTGATGAGCTCGTTCAGCAGGGCGCTCTTCATGGAGTCCAGTTCCTCCTGCTTCAATTCGGCCAGCCTCCGGGGCATGAAGTCGGTGATGACGGCCTGGATGGCGGCCTCGGCCTGGTCGGCGTCCAAGACGATGCCCTGCACCATCACCTTGACGGCCATCACGTTCGAGAACGAAGACGCGCCGCCCTGCACAACGTAGCCCAACTGCCGCACCGTGCGCAGTTCGTTGTAGGCCACCGTGCCCAAAATCTTCCCTACGAGGCCGAGCAACACGCGACTCTTCACCGTCTTCACCTCGTCCAGGAGGGCCACCACTGCCACGTCGTTCGGGTCGCCGTCCCGGGGGTTCTTGGCGCGCAACTCAATGGGCTGACCTGGGTTCACGACCGGGGTGATCAGTTCCACCTTCGCGTCGCTGCTGGCCGTCAGTTTGCTCCTGCGCTCCTTGCTCTGCACGCCCGCGGCGGCCTGCTGGACCAGCTCCGCAGCCTGTGACTGCGGCAAGTTGCCCATCGCCAGCGAGGTGAGCTGAAGCTTGCGGGACAGCATGAGCTCCTCGGCCGCACTGGCCACCGACTCCAGGGTCATCTGGTCGAGCGCCTTCAGGGCTTCCTTGTGCGAATGGCCCCCCTTCGTGAGCAACATGCTCAAATCGCCGTTCGCGTACGACACTGGCATGCCGTCGTAGGTGCTCAGGTCCTCGCGCAGGTCCTGCACCACGCGTTCGTAGCGCTTCGGATCTGTGATGCTGGAGTTGGCGTTGAAGGCGTTGAACTCCTTCAGCACCTCGTCCGCCAGCCTGGGTAGCAAAGGGGCGAAGCCGTCGAAGCTGAGCGAGACCCCGCCCGAGCCGACCGAAATGCCGCCAGAGACCCCAGTGGCTTTGAGGTCCACCAGCTTCGGCCCCATCTCCTCTTTCAGCAAGCGGCTATACAGCTGCAGGCGCATCATGTCCACCGCGGACATCTCGGGCTCCAGAGGCGTCTTCAGCGGCATGAAGCTCAGCTGCATCGTCACCTTGGGCGAGGATGTCACCCACCCACTGCGGTACCACAGGTCATCCTCAAGTTTCTGCGGCTTCTGGCCGAACAGCTTTTCGTCAAAGCTAGCATTGGAGCCTGGGAGGACTGCGTGCATGTTGTCGAGCGGGATCTTCGTCGGCACGTCCTTGATCTCACTCGGGATCCTCGGGAGCTTAGACGCTGCAAGTGCGACCTTAGGCTCTTGCGGGTTCCTCAACAAAGCCTGCCACCTGCCCATGCTGTCACCCAGCATCTCGGAAATGGGCTGGACGTTGTAGCTCACGTTGTAGAATGGCAGCTTCTTGAAAGCACCCTGCTGGAGCCCCCTCTGGACGGTGCTGACGTTCGGCAGCTCCTTCTCCTCCACGGGCGGGTAGATGAGCGCAGCATTCATATTTTCTGGGTTGATCTTCTCGAGCAGCGACGCCACCAACTTGGTATCGATCTTATCAATGCGATTGGATGCCGAGAGGAGCTTGTCCACTGGCACGGGTCTGGTCATGAGCCCAGCGAGGCCAGATGCGGTGTCCATGGGGCCAGACATTTCGTCCCAATCCCACTCGAGGGCGGAGATGTTGGCGATTGACTTGTAGAGCGCCTCGTCGACACCCCTCCTGCGCACTTCGGCCAAATAGGAGAAGAACACGTCAATTACCGCAGACGGATCCTTACGGCCCTTCTCGGTAAGCGTGGCCACGAAGAATAGCTGAGAGCCTGCTAAGTTCTTGTCGAACATGGCGCCCGAGTCGGTCGTGAGGCCAAGCTGGTCGGCGAGAACGTGGCTAAGCGAGTCTGTCCCGCTGTAGCCCAGGAGGTAGCTGATGTATTGCGTCGGATGGCTGGCCCAATGCTCGGTAAGTGCTTCCATGGGGAAGTGCAGCCACAGAGCTGCAGACGGCTGCGTGCCTTGAATGTGAACAAAATTCCCCAAATTGAGCTTGGTAAACGGTGCTGGGCTGTCGTAACGGTTCACCGGCTTGGTCCTGCACTCCTCGGAGCCCACGGGGATGGAGCCGAAGAGCTTCTCGGCAGTGGAGAGCTGCTCCGCGAGATTCTCGGGGCCGAACGTTACCAAGCGCATCTTGTCTGGGCAATAGTACCTCTTGAAATCCGCGGGCCCTCCTGCGGAAGCGCTGAGCTGTGAGACGTGCGCGCTGTGCTTGCATCGCAGAGCCCGCGGTGTGTACGTACAGACTTTGGGGTGTTTGCAAGCAGCCCAGAAGAGGCTGGCCATCTTCAGAACCAGGCCCCGACTCTGAAGTAAATCTTGGATGGCGGGTGGCTTGTCGGCCAGTGGCCGATCGTAAAGGAATCCTGTCCGACCCCGCTCAACCTGACTAGGGCTCGAGCTACCTAATACAAAATCCTAGGGCCCAAGAAGGCCCTGGCCAGGGATGGTAGTGTAAGATGCCTTCTGCGGACATGAGAGCCCCTCGCAACTTTGTCTTCTTCTCTCGCGCGCCAAGCGCGAAACTCCCACCGAAGACAGGCCTGTCGATTAGGCAGCGGGGGGTGCCCGGAACGAAACTGGTGAGAAAGGCGTCGACTTGGCAATCACCAGAGTATATTGGAAATGATGCCAGCCAAATCCTGACTAGAACCTTAGATTAATGACATGCAAGATGCAGCCAACACCCCGTCTCGTTTCGACCTGGGGCCTAAGGGCTAGGAAATTCACAATGGGGCACCTTCGGTGGCAAAGGCCGACGCGGGCCAGCGCAGGGGCATAGTGGACCCCCCGAACTGAATCGACGAAATGCGGCTTGGAAGGGAGCTTCATTGCGCATGTTTTGGCTTGCCAGTTTATACGTTTTTCAACTTAGGGAGGACAATTGAAAAGTCGAGGCAGTGCTGGACGGTATTGACAGGAGGGCCTATCCCTGGACAGTGCACGAAATGTAGTGGATACTGCTGCGAAGCGTTACGAATAGAGTTCGAGAGCATCCACAGGATTCTTGCCCTTGGACATCGGCTCCGTGTAGAGCGTGTCCAAGTTTCCGGTGTGAAACCTGCTCACGGGATTATCAGAGCTTGCGAGAGAATACATTGTCTGAATGATGCGGCTGCTGTGCGACTGGACGTTCTTGGCATGCTCGCTGTCAATGGCGTGCACCTCCTTCTCCACAAAACTGCGGTTGAATTTTGGCTTCTTGAAGAAATCCGCGAACCGGTCCATCGCCTCGAAGCCCGCCTTGTGAGAGATTTGGCCGAAATAAACTGTCAAATCGAATGACGTGTAGGCGTTGTTCGTGCCTCCGTTCGCGCCCATGAAATTGTCGAAACCGCTGGGGTCGGGATACTTCTCGGTGCCCAAAAACACCATGTGCTCGCAGAAGTGGGCGAGTCCGGGAAACTCGAGCGGATCGTTGGACGAGCCAGACTGCACAGCCATGGCGAAAGCGCTCTCGAGCGCCCTGTCATCCTGGACGTTCAGAACCTGAAGGCCGTTGGAGAGCACGGAATGCTGGTAGCTACGAGTGTCTCCCTGCGGCTTGTCTGTCACCATCGTTACCACCGGCTTCTCAAGACGAAGGGCAATGCCCCCCGTCACACCCACGAGGGCAAGACCTTGGAAGCACCCCCCCCCCGGACCGAGCTGATCCACAGCCTCGCTCCGGTCCTGATCCACCAGCCCGCCCGGCCCGCTCGGCCACCCTCGAGACCCTCGAGACCCGATCGATCGACGGATCGCCACCCTCGAGACCCAATCGATCGACGGATCGCACCGCTCGCACAGAGGTTAGGGGACGAACAGTGACATAAACATAAAAACTCGGAGGTCCGCGCGGATTTCTCGGATTCGCGCTGGACCCCCCTCCATGGCGCGCAGAGCGCGCCAGGGGCGGCGCTGGAGGCGCCGCCAGGGGCAACCGGCCCCGTCGACACCGGACCTCACACGTGGACACCACGAGGGCCCTCCGAGGGCGGGGCCCGTCCCCGCGAACACGGCCGCGGAGGAGTGGGCGACCATCTCGGCCTGCTCCGGAGGCACGGCCCGCCGGCGGCCGAGCCCTGTTCGATACCGGGGTGCGTAGGTATAGGCTTATACGGAGCGGCCACGGGCGGGCCAGGCGGTCTCGGGCCAAGGCAGCCGCGAGCGCGCGGGAGGGGCGGAGGGGGCCACGAGAGGGGGGGGGGAGGGGCTGGCCCGGGGGGGGGAGCATCGACCTCGTGTCGGCGAGATACGTCGCTGCTGGATGGACTGGGGCTCACGATGGCGGAGCCGCAGGATCCTGGGCGGGCTGGGCCGGCAGGCCGCTAGCGGCGATGAGTGGGCGATTGGGGCTCGATGCGTCGCTGCTGGATCGACTAGGGCTCGCGATGGCGGAGCCGCAGGATCCTGGGCGGGCTGGGCAAGCAGGCCGCCATCGGCGATGAGTGGGCCAGTTGGGGCTCGATGCGTTCCGCCCAGAACCTGTGCCCCCTCTAACGTTGCCCCCGAAGGAGGTGGGAAGGGGGCCAAGGGGCGGAGCAGACGGGGGGCAGAGGTGCGGGAGCCGGGTGGGCCGAGGCGCTGGCCATGGGGGAAAGAAGCTCTATGAGGTGGAGGGTCGGGAGGAATGCGAGGATGTCGCTCGTGGTGGTGATGATGATGCTGCTGCTGCTGATGAAGATGAATATGAAGATGAAGATGAATATGATGAATATGATGATGATGATGATGATGATGATGATGATGATGATGATGATGATGATGACGATGATGACGATGATGATGATGATGATGATGATGATGATGATGATGATGATGCTGATCGGACAAAAAAGAGAACGGCGAGTAAGAGTAGGAGGAGGAGGAGGAGGAGGAGGAGGAGGAGGAGGAGGGGGGGGGGCGGAGGAGGACCAGGAGGAGGAAGAGGGGATGTGGACGAGCAGGTGGAGGCAGTAGATGAGGGAGGGGTGGATGAGGAGGATCGGGCGGAGGATGAGCTCGGCAGAATGACACATACGCAGCGACAGAAGGGGGAGGAGGAACAGCAAAGGGGAGGGAGGAGGGTCATGGCGAGGAAAGACTCAGAGAAAGGAGACAGAGGTATATTTTATCAGTTCGTGCGAAAACACAGCAATCTGGCACAACAGCGAGCTTATGCCAAGTAGCGTGGAGACGACACACGGACAACGCCGTTGTTGGAACGAACAAAACGTGGTGAAGCTCGTGGGAGGAGGAGGATGAGGAGGAGGAGGCGGGACCAGGCAGAGGCGAGGATGTCTTCAAATCCGCCGGCCCAGTCGGCGTGTGTGAGAGCCTCGTCGACGCGAGGCCAGCCCAACCCAACCTGAAGTACGCCAACCTCCGTTGAATCGTCAACGTCGTAAAGGAGATTGAATAAATAATGGGGATCGAGCAATGTCGTAATTACGTCGAATGGAGGCCCCTTCCCTTCCCGCCAGGGGGGGGGCCCTGGGGGAGGTCCATGGTGGGGGGTCCTGGGAGGGTCCCGGGGGGAGCGGATCCCGGGGGTGGTCCAGGAGGTCCTCCTGTGGAAAAGGCGGACAAAAGGACCCAACTGGCAGTGGACCTCAGAACCCCTCCACCCGCTTCGGCCCCAGCTCCAGCCTCGGCCCTAACCCTGGCACGGCCCTGGCCTGGGCACCGGCCCCTGCCCCTGGCCCCGGCCCCAGCATGGCCCCGGCCCTGGCTCTGGGCCCTGCCTTGCCCCAGCCCCAGCCTCGGCCCTGACCCCCGCCCGGGCCCGCCCCCAAAGAGACAGACGGCTCTCCTCCTTTTCCTCCTCCATTCCCGTTCTTTAGAAGTGACTCCCCCCTGTCGCACCCTTCGTCTGGTCGAAAGGGCAGGCTGGGCGTTCCGCCTGAGACTTCCCTCACCGTCCCTCACCACTTCTGACCCTGAAGATGAGAGTATGGCAACAGTTTCACATTCGAGGGCGGGTAGTTTTCAAAATGCGATTCTCGCTCTAACGCCCCGCGCATTCATCTAAACGAATTGCAGGGTTTCGCGGATTGAAGGCGAGCTGTTTTCAAACTGTGGCTCTCGCCTTAGCGCCGCGCGCATCCGTTAAGCACAGTGCAAGAGTTTCACGGATTGAGGGCGGGTGGTTTTGAACATATGTGGTTCTCGCCTTAGCGCCGCGCGCTCTCGTGTGAAATATGAACCCAGCGCGACCCAATTAGGGGCGAACCTGTTGCATGGGAGCATCGCTTGGCGTTGCTTGGCGTTGCTTGGCATTGCTTGGCAATGCTCGGCATTGCTTTGCATGGGTTGGCCTTGCTTTGCGATGATTGGCGCTGCTTAGTATTGCTTGGCACTGCTTAACAATGCGTGGCATTGCCATGCATGGCTTGGCATTGCTTTGCATTGATTGGCGTTGCTTGGCATTGCTTGGCACTGCTTGACATTGCGTGACGTTGCTTTGCATACGTTGGCATTTCTTTGCGTTGATTGGCGTTGCTTGGCCTTGCTTTGCAATGCTGGGGAGCTGGAGAAACAAGAACGGGTCACCCGAATAACCAAAACACAATACAAGACCAAGGAAGCCGGAGAACCCGAAAAATCTCCGAGGAACGAGCAATGTAAGAATACGAGGCACCCGGGGCGGAGAACCCGAGGAACCCGGGGAACCCGAGGAACCTCCGAGGAACGGGCAACGTAATCATACGAGGCACGGGGGGCAAGGAACCCGAGGAACCCTGGGGACCCGAGGAACCTCCGGGGAACAGGCACAGCAAGAACCCCTTAGGCAAGCCGACTTGGGGAACTCGGAGGTACCAGGGGCGGGGAATTCGAGGAACCCGAGGAACCTCAGAGCAACGGGCAAAGTAACAATAGGAGGCACCAACCTTTACCAAAGAAGAATCCCTGAAGCAAGCATACTTGGGAAATTCAAGGATTCCACGGATTGAGGGCGGGCCGCTTTCAAAATGAGGCTCTCAGCTTTGCGCCGCGCATATTCGTCTTGCGCACTTGCAAGCGTTTCACGGATTGAGGGCGGGTGGTTTCGAACCGTGAATCTCGTCTTAGCGCCGCGCACGTTCTTTTTAAACATTTGTACGCGTTTCACGGAATACCATGGTCAGCGTACCAGAATTGTGTTTTGGAAGGACTCACGATTGTGTGGGTGCAACAACTGTGTTGATTCGCGGCGTCGATGTCCTAGGAATGGTGTTCTGGCACGGTTCTGGATCGTCAAGACGAAACAGTTCAGTTGGCTCGTAGCGTTGGAGTCCCGAACGGCGTTTTGGCAGGCTTCAGGGGCTTCAACCGGTTGTCTCCCAACGAGGAAGTTCCCTCAGCGGGAATGACCCCGTGTAGTAGCCTATGAAGAAGGAGCTCGGAGGGAGAGTTCATTCCAACATCGTTGATGAGTCTTGGGTTTGCAGTGGTCCTCCTCCTCATCCTCCTCCTCTTCCTCCTCCTCCCCCCTCTCCTCCTCTTTCTCTTTCTCCTCCTCTTTATCTTTCTCCTCTCGTCCTCTTCTTCCTCCTCTTCCTCCTCCTCATCCTTCTCCTCCTCCTCTTCCTCCTCCTCCTCCTCCTCTCCTCCTCCTCCCTCCTCCTCCTCCTCCTCCCCTCCCCCCCCCTCCCCTTCCCCCCTCCCCTCCTCCTCCTCTTCCGCCTTCTCCTCCTCCTCCTCCTCCTCCTCCTCTTCCTCCGTTCACAGCCCGTCTCATGACCCGAGCCGGTGGCAGGGTCACCAGCTCGTCGTTGTTGTTGTCGTGGTCATCGTCGTCATCCTGGGTCGGCGGCGCTGACCGTAAGGCTTTCACAATAGCAATCTCATGGCCCATCATGGGCATCTCTATTGAGGCCGCAGTGCCGAAACAATACTGGCAGCCAGAAAAACCATCAGGCGTCTGTTCGGCAGCTCCAGGCAGGGTGTCAGAAATAGCTCCTCCTCCTCCTCCTCCTCGTCCTCCTCCTCCTCCTCTTCCTCCTCCTCCTCTTGCTCACGCTCCTGCTCTTGCCTCTCCTCGTCCTCCCCCCGA